CTTATCACATTCAGCCATTTTACCGTCTAAAGCACAAAACAAGCAACATACTTCCTAACCAACACACATCCACATTATGAATTTATGGCAATCATGCAACATTACATCATAATAGGGTTTTCATAATATTCAACTACTCAGGCTACCATAAATGAAACAACGACTTCACAATAAAAACAAGGGGTACTCTTCTCTCTACTCTAACCCAACATCATAGTTCAGATCGATAAGTCGTCAAATTCCAAGTGTAAAATCATTCGTTACGACAGGCTAGCTTTTTGTAGTAAAATGATATCGAATATACCGTATTTATGTGAATCTAATGCGCATCCCCATTTTAAAACTTTAAATAATAAAAAAATTGTTTGTCGGCGAATGTAATGCGCATCAATGATATGAGGAATTTATTGAATCTTATTTTATACAACAAGGATTTGTATATAAAAACAAATTAATGGTATGATTTTTTATTTAAATTTAGATACCATATTTTATACAACAAGGATTTAACATAAAGTAGCAGACACATAGAATTAACCATTAGTGGGTATTGTCATGTGAAAACCTCATTGTAAGCACTACCGTAATACGGTTACCTTGTAAAATATGAACATGAAAAATCGTACATTTCTATCTAGCTCCAGTTCTACACCAGTGATTAATAGTAACGTCTTATTCACATGTTTTCATCACTGGAATCCTGCAGCTCTCTTCGTCGAACAGATTCATTCTTCTTCCTCATCATCGTCGGCGTCCTCCTCGGCGTTCCAGAGCCACGTCCTCGTCATGCCATTCAATATTGAATGCCGCTGCTTGAACGATTCACATCATGGTGCTTCGATGCTTTTCCGGCATCAGAACCAGTGTGCACATGTGCAGTGCAGCACGCTAATTCCTGTCGGGTCAATACCGTTTGCTCACAAAACATTTTCGTACTCCCTAACGTACCCCTAAAGTTATTATACTAAGTCCAGGGTTGTAAACCGCGTCATCCCTCCAGAGTGATACAAATCACTGCTGTCGTGCATCTCTTTTCAGTCGGTCGTGAGATTACCCAGAATGCGTCAACAAGCATGGAGGGGGATAGAGAGCACCGGGACAGCGTTTCCATACATTTCGAGCCAATAAGCATTAATGATTCGTCCCCACCCCTTCTCTTGGTGCGATCAGGACGTCATCTGGAACAGCTTTTCATTCTTAGGGGTTTTAGGGCATGTTTTTCCGTTTGAAGATTAAGAAAGGGGGAAGCTTGCACCCGTCTGCTCTTATTGCCAGCATCACTGTTACGCGTAGTTTTTCACATCCCGAAGTTTTAATGATAACTTCCTTAGTCCCCTCCTCCGTAATGTTGTAGTTACGAGGCATATCAAACCAAATTGGCGTCTCGCCAGCGTTGCCAATTTGCCCCATTTAAAAATTCTTTTTCTTTCGAAGTGTGATGACATACCGCTGAAATGTAAGTAGTTTTCCCTCAAAATCTGCAGGAAGCTTTTGGCATAGTGTTCTACGGCGTCTTAGAGATAAGCCCATCCGATTCATAAACCGATCCAGCCATCCACGGCTAGCCTTAAACTCTGTTTCGGTATTCCAAGAATTCAGCCTCTCTTTGCTTATCTATGGTGTCACTAGTCACCGTTGTCCATTCTTCCTCATTCCGTACAAATTCAAAAATTTTCTTCAATTAGGTGTCTTCCTTTGCGAGGGCAGTGAATTTTTTCTACTATCTTGTTGCAACAGGCCAATTCTGTTGCCGCCACACGAACATTGCTTCAGCTACATGACTCCTCCTGCCTTTCTATTGCCATTTTTTTTTTCAGCATAAGAATTACTTACGTTTGAAAGTGGTAAGAAGTTCTTGTTTGCCCCCATTTCGTGACTCGGTACTCTGCGTTGTCCTCTATGCAATAAGTGTCAACGATAATGTAACGGTAAGTGTCGAGAAATTGGTTGACTTCATCGCGACTTTTACCGAACTAATGCGCACCCAATTTGAATACTCATTGGCCAAAAACGATGCGCATTAAATTCGCGTAAATACGGTAATTCAATTTTAGAAGGGTATTAGTATTAGAAACTGTTTTAATTTCATTGAAAGACAGACTTGAGAAATCAGTTAATTCTTTTCAAAGTCATTATTTTGAATTACTTTTAAAACTATGAATTCGTTTTCAGGGAGGGGGAACATATGATAGTTATAGAAAATGCATCTTATTTTTGTGTAACCTGCAGTGAGTATTTGGAAAAATGGATGGGCCATATGAAAGAATTCAAGTGCTAGAACACCTAAGTACCTCAGCTTTGAGAGCATTCTTCCATTCATTGGCCCAAAGGGGTGTTAACGGAGAAGTGCTAATAGTCTCGAAACAGCATTTTGCATCAAGTAACTATAAACAGCTGTATCACATTTCAGACTGTTGCTACCAAATATTATTATCGCTATGCATTACATTTAAAGAAATTAAATAATAAAAAATCTGCATGACTATAATTATATTTCTCGCACTGAAAAAACAAAGATACCTAGAGCCATCAAATTTTGAATAACATACTCCTCCACTCGAATATGGACATATGTTATGCTCGTTGAAATAAAAGTGTGGTAAAAAAAATCATGTTTTATTTCTTCTTTTGCATTATAATAACTTTGTATTTGGAGAACAGAAAAAAAATCAACTTAATTATATTGATATTTTAAAATATGCTGATGAAATGTGGTTGCAGTGTCTAAATATTTGGAATTTTGATGTGCTGAAAATATTTAAACGTTTATTGCAATACCCGAATTGCTTTTCAGAATAGTTTACATGCAGATAGATTAACTTTGTTGCTACGTTTCACATGGCTGTAGAATTTTTAATGAATTTGATTTTTTGTTTTAACTTTGAATTTCTACTGTTAATTTTTTCACAGTTTTTGATCATTTAATTTATTAGATAAAAACACCAAAACCTGATAATTTATTTCCTGATGAACAGGCTGACTATATGGAATTTACTTCATTCGTAATGTGAATATAAGCTAATTTCCATTGGAAATTCTTTCACAAAAGCATCCAATAATCAATTGATAGTTAAGAACAATATTTTCAGGTTTTTACAATAGTAGCAATGTAGACATTATGTATTCAGATATTATAAAGGTGACAAGTAATATCGTAAGTGGAGTAGATCAAAAATGAAACAAATTTCATTCTGTCAACAATAGTATAAATTTAAAATCTTCATTTTCAGTGATTTATTTGGATATATGGTCTAACAAGTAACATTCAAGATATTTACTATTTTTTAACTTTGTCAAATCTAAGAACTCAGCTAGACGAGAGACAAACATCAGGCGTTTACTTTCATATAAACTATATACACCATGTCCACCAAACGTCCTTGTTTTTTTTCAACTGCTGCTCATAGACAATTACTTCCAAATAAAAAAACATTTGAAATTATGCAAAAGTCCTTGTTCTGGAGTTTTTAGTTAAAAAACTAGTTTTGTAAAATTTGGGAAATCTAGCTTCTTATGTTATATCTAGAAAGTCTCACACCCGTACGACAAAAATCGATCCAGATTAATTTTAAAATTTAACTTTTTGTGTTTTTGGCTTGCTGTGGCAGTTCAATAAAAAAAGAAAAGAATAATACCTGGTTGTCTTTTATCCTTTAAATGTTATTCAATGATATTCTTTAGTGATTTACTCTTGTCTTTAATTTCCAATTTTGTTACACTTGGTATGCTGAAAGAATTTTCATACAATTAATTTATAAGTTTTCAAAAGCTAAAAATACTTTATTAATATTCTAATGAATTTATACCACTGCAAAATCATATAAAAATTCCTTATACTAGAAACGTACATAATATATGATAATGACACGAGTTAACTATGTGCCAACTGAAGTCTGGCATTGTTTTCTAGAACACTAGTGCTAAATAAGATAATCTTTTTGAAAATAATTTATATGCAATATTGGTACTTTTCTTGAGTGTCAGCATAGCAATTATCATCACTTAATTTAAATGAGTGCAGCCGGACCAGGGGAGCTAGAATTTACGAAGCACCGAGCAGCAAAATTTAGAGATACAAAACTTTTAGAATTTAGGAAGGCACTGGCCAGCAGGATTTAAGACTTGTAAAGCTTGTACTAGCCACAGAAAGCCCAGCACTGTCCTTTTCCTAAAATAGGTATTTCATTTTTATGTGCAATATAAATGAAAGCATTTTGCTCTTCAGTTTTATGTACTATCCCTAAATATGATTACGAATTCTAAATTTAAATATATCTATCAAGTTTTTGTTGGATGGGGTTCAAACCCTTTGTATTTTATTTTTTATATTAAATATTAACTTTTCTCAAATATAATTATAGAGATTAGAAAAATATTTAAAAAGTGAAGATTTCATAATGAAAAAAGGGAGGTTTTCAAATTTAAAAATATTGATTGATACATGAATAATTACATCATTCAAAACATACATCCAAGACCAGTGGTTGTGAAAACGAGGGCCAAGTAAAATTTTTTGTTGTCATAATGTTTATTCATTTAAATAAAATAATAGCAATATTTACTTAGGATGATAGTTTTGCTATCTATGTATTCAATTAAAACTTTATGTGGAAAGAATATTACTATATCTATATCAGGTAATTAAATTCATGATCAATTAAAGTCATTACATTATTGATTTAAGGCAGCTTAAAAATTATGTATTAATTAGAAAGTACATTATAATCGCTTGAATTGTTTAACATACTGAGACGTCTTCTATCAAATGTGAGAAGAATGTGTAAAGGCAGATATTTAGATCAAAGGAAAGAAACTTCATAAAAGAAGAAATGCTAAGAAAAGTTATGCTTTCCAGCTTTCTTTGATACAAAATAACCTGCCCTTTGTATTCTTCTTTCTTGATAAAGAACAGCATTTGACAGCTTGAGACTTCTGCAGCGATCAGAATTGTATATAGTAAACTGTTGCTGTTTTAACATAAAACTAAAGAATGCACCATATTCCATGAGGGAAAAAAATTCTTTTATTTTAAACAATAATAAAAAAAATAACTAAGATAATACAGAGATGAACAGTACTATGATAACACACATCCTTTCATAATGGCATGTTAAAATATTTAACATTTATTTAAACAAAGCTTATCTATGTATTTTACATAAACATGTGCTCTTCTGGTTAAAAAGCATTTATCATCTCAATCTACACTGAAAATGGCCTTTCAATTAAAATTTAATTTAAAGTTAACACTATCAGAAACTGCACAGTAACTTTGGGATTTTAAAAATTATCATTGTATTAATTTATCAGAGTTTAAAAAAAAAAAAAAACTGTAGAGGAAGAATTTTTTTTTCTTTTTCTTTTTTTTTAAATTCAAGACATGTTTGTCCAGTCTAATTACATATTGAAGTATCCCATTGAAAAGCCATTACAAAAATGTCAAAATCATCATTACTTAGCAAAATTTCAGAGAAAAGTTTACTCATAAAACTCATTGACACCAACTAGACATCAGAAATTATTTTTGAGTAAGTTTTTTTAAGAATTATTATGATCAATTAGAAAGAATAATGGAAACGCCTAAAGACTAAAGACTATTTAAATAACAGTAATTCAAATATCAAATATACATAGACTTGTGATGCCAATAATAATTTAAACAATCAACTCTTGCAGTTTCCAAAATATTAATATAAATTATATTACTACTTACATAAATTAAAAAAAGAAAAACATACATGTGGTTGCAATCAACACATTACTATGGAAACTAAAAGTATCATTCAATTTTATTTTATGATAGAGGTAAAATAAAAGACTTCGAAATTCTGAAATGAAGATATAATGTAGTAGAAATGTTAATAAAGCTTATTACAAAATATTATTAGCAAGTACCCAATTTTAAAGGCCTCACAGTTTACACTGTTACGTATAATTATTATAATTTCAAAGCTATAGGAAAATTCTGCTATATAAAAATAGCAAAAGCTTCAGTTTTCTAAGAAATATATAAACAGATATCATTCTTTAAAAATCCATCTTTCTGATACAAGCTCAATTTTCAACGAACATGATAATGAAAACTAAGGTATTTAATACCAGATAGACAGATAGAATAATTTATGAATGAATATTTCCATGAAAACTTTGGCAATATTCAGATTATTTTTTCTACAGATTCAGTAATGTCTCATTAGACATGAGAACAAAGCTAAATACAATTGAACTCAATATCAAGTATTATATTTTACTTTCATAAATTTTTATAACAAAAAAAGGTTTAAAATAATAACTAAAATGCATTAATACTGAGTTTTTAAGAAAATTCTTAGCCTTCAGCAAACATCATTGAAAAGAAGAAAGAGAGAGTTTTTTTTTTTTTTTTTAAATTTAAATTTTCTTTTTGCTTCTGTAGAAAAAATAATGCCCTTACTGTGACTTATCAATATTTTTACAACCTATTTCTACATATGTATCTGACTAGCTGCATAGAACTCAAAAATGAAAACAGAATATGTGAAATTTCCAGATAATTATATTTTTGATAATATTAGTTAACAAGGAAAATAAACATTTAAACAAACACTGAGTAAGAAAAACAAGTATTAAAACATTTGTGAATTATAAAACACTGATATGAAATATGAACATCAGCATAAATTATCAGATTTAATAAAACATTATCAATAACACAATTTTTAATAATTTACAGTCAAATACCATACCATTTAATTAATTTACAAAATGAACATAATTATTGCTGTTACAGCAATAGCTCTGATGTTTAAAAATAGGGGGGGGGATACACAAATGAAACAGTATTTGTTTTAAATCAAAATACATTTGTGCATGCTCATATTCACTCCCAGGGTTTTGTAGAAAAGTAGATGTAATTATATTTGACTAAATGGCACTTTAATCTGAAAACAGATATTTTTTGGCGTATAACAATGTGGTAATAATGTAGTGGTACGTTACACCAGATATATTGTAAACAAGTTGACCAGAATTTGTTCCGAATTCATGAGCCTTGTCATGTGAAATTTCTTAACAATTTTTAATTTAATATTTTTACAAAACTCAGATATCTTTACAAAGAATCATTGCATCACCCTCTTCCCATGCATACTTTTCGGATGTAAATGGTAGCACATTGACCTAACTGATTCAAACCCTGATGAGTATCCAGTTCATTTTTCATGTTTCTCACTCTGGGGGGGGGGAAGTTGTTGTCTCTATAGTGGTGTCTAAACTAAAATACAATGAATGATAATTCAATACCACCTGAATTTGATTGACTGTATGCCATTTGTCTTCTCAGTCCCCTAGTGAAGAATATGGAATTATTGCATTCTCCCATGCAAGTTTTAAATGTATGAATTAGTAAGATGCTCAACCAGCAACTGGAAGATCTGCTATTTAGATTCCAGCGAAGGCATAATTGATTTTTCACATTTCTGTCTCTCTTAAAAAAACTAATGTCTCCATAGCATGCATTTTCTCTATGCATTATATTAATACATGCAGAAGAAAATAAAAATTGTTCATTGTTTCAGTTTAAAAAGTTGATTTCTCTCAGGATATATCTATCTCCATTTCCACACAAACATTATGTAACAAATTATTTATGAATTAAAATTTTGTTGTAACAACTTGTAGTAAAGGAAGGGGATAATCTGCTTCCAGAAAAGATCAAAAAGTATTAAATAACAGCAAGTCTGATATATAGCAAAATATATTATTAGAACATTTTTGTAATTTTTCTTGTTTTGCTTTTACCCACTTTGCTTCTTCCAGTTCAAATATGGATATAATGCTTATAAATTAGCAGCAGTGAACATGCCATTTGGAACTGGAAATGCATACCAGGATTTGTTTTATACAGATAAAAAAGTGTACCCTGAGGTTCATCACAACTGCATGAAGTGTATTATACAGCCAAGAAAGTGTACCCTCACTGAGATTCATCACAACTGCATGAAGTGCAATGTTCAAGAATGGATATGTAAGACAAAGGACTCCTAAAAGTTTCGGTGGGAAATGTGGAGCCACCATTAGGACTAGATCTCGCATCCTGCAATATCTATGTGTCAGACTTATGAGAAAGGAACTTGCAATGCAGCAGTGTCAATTCAATGAGGAACTCAAAATTATTTTCTGAACAAGGTATAAAGATACTTATGCTACACTGCAGTAAATGCTTAAATAATTTCAGTAATTGCATGTATACTTTTATGTAAATGGTAGTATACATATATGTAAATAAAAAAAAAAAAAACCTTATACGTTCATTCCTTCATTTAAGTGCAGCTAATAGTTTGACTAACATTCATATAATGCTTATTAATTATGTATTAATTGTTTGTATTATTTTGTACATGTTAGACCTTCTCATTAAATTTTTTTCATAATTTCCAACAATAAAATTTTCATTATTCTAAGTCCTAAAATGCTAGTGCATTTTAGAATGGACATTAGCTAATTCTAAGTCCTAAAATTTTTCATGTAAATCCTAAAACATGAATTTTAGTGATTCTCATCATTTACCTCATGAATTTTACTATTTTCACCTATGGTAAAATTATTGTCAACTACTGGCAAAATAAATATTTCTCAAGATATCAATAGTGTATCTACAACCGACTGAACAGTTTAATTTCTTTTAGAAAATACAGTCAAACCTCCTTAGTTACTATCCAGGTCACATGGATAGTAAGATAGAATCAGATTTTTTTTTTGTTGTTGTTGTTGAAGACAAATTTCTATTTCATTTATTTCCACATAACATATACAAGTTATTGATTATCAATCAGTTCACATTTAAACTCATACTGCAAACATAATTATTTGTTCACCAAAAGGTAATCCTTTTTATCCAAAATTTCTCTCCGGACTGCAATACGTACACATGTGCGGCCCTTTAGAAACTCCTCAAATCAGTTAGCACCTATCAATCAAGATGACAAGCAGAGGTGACCTGCCTATTATATTCCCATTACCTGGCCAAAGGCGGAAAAGAAATTCTTTCAGGTTTTATCAGATTCTTGGTCGATTTTTTAAAAGGAGAATTGAAACTGTGTTTCTGAAAAAACTTTGCAATACTAAGCCAAAAATATGAACATACTGTGAATTCCCTTTAAAGTGAAAAAACGGCATTAGAATACCAAAAGAATTTGGAAACCAAGAATTTTCAAAGAATAACTGGATTTGTTAATTCAAAGAAAGACATGAGCTGTCTTTAAACATGCTTGAATGCCATGTTACAGTCACCAGTGACAGACGCTATACTTTCCATTTGGACCGCATCAGTCATTGGCACCTGACAGCATACTTTTTGTTTAGGCTATGTTAGTCACAGTTGACTGACAATATACAATTTCAAAAATATTATAATGCTCTGTTGAATTCTTCACAGATCTCTGGATGGCAAACATATTTGTTAAATCGGATATTGTGAGTTAAACAGAAAGGAAAACAAAACAGGCTTGGTGATGGATGTGTTAAAAAAGCATGTAAAGAATCATCATGGACGTAGGGCTTCTGTACAGTGAACAGTGAAAAAAACTATATTCTGAGAGGATGGTTATAATTTAGATGACATGAGGTTATTTTTTCACCTTCCATCAGTACAGATACTTTTTTGCAATCAAAAATACTGCAAAGCAATGATAAATCTACTGTTAGATATAAACATGACTGATACCAATAAACGATATTCTCTTACTGATGGCAAATATTTGATGCCTAGATGCTTTAAAAATATTAATTTGACACACTTTACTGTTGCACATAGAGCTAATTATGAAAGAAGAAAGTTTTCCGTACTCTGAATAGAAGCAATAAAATAATTTGAACAATTTTCTTAATGAGAAGGAAAGTCACTATTATTGCTAATAAATGTATTACTTGTACTGAAATGAAAGGATTGAAAGTAAGTGAGTTGCTGTCATACCTTAAAGTCACATCACTTCTGCAGCCTCCACCTGAAAAAATTATCCTGAATTGATAGTGCCCCTTTCAAAAGCTTTTGATCAAGGATTTTATCAAAGCTATTGATGACAACTACAATTTTTGCTCTTTGATTCTTGATGCCATTCATTGCATTTCAAGATTTTAAGTGCTATCTTAACAGTTTATTGAAAATTGCTTCAACAGACTTTTTTAAAAATACTATGCAGCAGACGCTACTGATCAGATTGGTATATAGCAGTGGTCTTTAGACTGCATCCTGCGGAATAATATGAAACAGATCTCTTTTTATGAGTAAAATTATAATGAAATTATATGATTTGCTATGAATTATAATGATTTGCTTTTCAGTTCCCATATAAAAGGTGCATTTTTGCTGCTTTATTAACAATATTTTTCATGATGATCGAGGTTTTAGAAGAAGAGTAAAAGTACAATGTTATGGGTTCCTTGACTTCATAAAGTTTTAAAAAGATGCAGAGGATAATCTTCCATTTGCACAGATTTTGAAGGAAGAAGCCATATATTGAATAATCATATAAATATATGACAATTCCTACCTCATTCAGAGATACAGCTGCGTTCGGTTTAAGCAAAGCAATAATTGCCAAAATCGCAGCAGACCCCAAAGCTATTAGGGCTGACAATGATAACGAAGCTTCCAAAAGTAACTGAGAGAAAATTTCTAAAAACGCGACAATCAAAAAGGATGTTTTGGAGAGTTTGGAAATCATTAAAAAATATGTATTATTAAAAAATTAAATTGAAAACAAATTACCATCAGTTATTTCATAAATAATAAACATCAATTCCAATTTTTTTTTTTTCTTTTCCAGTAACATGACATATATGTTATTTTATTTCTTCATACAAATGCCAAAACATATTTTAATACTTGCTGAAAATGTTTATTCATAATTTATTTATTTTAATATTTTTGTCACCTGTATTCAAAGAGGCATTTTCTTACAATTCCAAATAACATGTAATTCTTAACAATAGGTCCTTTTTATTCCCCTTGATTCTAAAGGGCGATCACTAAATGACATTTGACTACATATACAGTTAAACATCCCTTTATCAGATACTCATAAGACCAAGGTCTTTTATCTATTGAGTACACTGTCTCTTATTTCTAAAGGGCGATCACTAAATGACATTTGACTACATATACAGTTAAACATCCATTTATCAGATACTCATAAGACCAAGGTCTTTTATCTATTGAGTACACTGTCTCTTATTTCAGGCCCAAGGATTCAGGAACTTGAAGGTAATGAGAAGTGTTCCCTAAAATGAGTGTCCATTAATGAGAGTTCATTTGTAAAGTATTTGTTAAAATTCAGTTTGATGGTCTTTTTACTAGATGCAACTGACTAGAGGATTTAAGTGTGCTTTTATTTTTTTCTTAATTATTTTTTAAAATTAACATAATAAAACAATACGTGTTTAATGTGCTTAAAAATCCCAGAATGGACTATCCTATCATAAAAGTATAATGCCATAATCATAACAGTAAGCCATATTTAAGTTTTAAAATGAAATTAATATATTCATTTATAAGACTGTTCAATAAATCAACAAGCAACACTGATACAATACTTTGCAAATATGTAATGCTGTACAAAATAAACAATGAAAGTATAAAGGTAGTCAGGTAGTCAACAAGCAAATAATTTGAAAAGATAAAAATATTCCTGAGTAGCCTAACTACAATCAACAAGTTACAGAGCATTAAGATACAAACATAAAAATCTCCCTGAGAAGATCAACAGCACCAAACCAATAAATACTTATGTAAAATTACATTTGTACTTTTGATAAATACATGAATTAAAAGTACACTACATAACAACACAAGCAAACACATCAAGCTCATTAAAGAAAATGAAGACAAAAGCTGCACATCCCACCGAAATGCTAAATATACTGATTTCAAGGAATGAAGAAAACTGTAATAATAACATACATAGTCACATCCAAATACTAGAATGTACTCAATCTTTTGTGGAATTACCCTGAGTATTTCAATTTTTTATTAGATCATTTGGCAGCAAGATAAAATGCAGTATTAAAATAAATATTTCAAAAATAGCATTGCCATTGTTTGATCGTTTGCCCCAAAACATTTTGGTGCTTTTCTATGTGTCTGTATTCATTTTGTAGCTAAAAGTTGACTATCTTGTTTATGCACAGCACTTGATCCCTTTATCGTATTCTCATCTTTCATGAATACCACATTACAGCCTTGAAGAAAAGAAAAAAATATTATCATATAATACATGAGGAATATGATCATAAAATAACATTAAAAAGTTTTTAATGCACAGTATACTTAATTTTATTATTTCCAATGATTAATATACTATAAGTTTTATCATTTATATATTTCATTTGAATTAGATAATTACAATTGAAATAAAAGAATGTTAATTTAAAATTTCAAATTAGGCAAGATTCAATTTTAGATAGTTAACTAGAAAATTTTATCTTTATCTAGCATAGTTTAAACTTTTGTACAATTTAGTTTCTTTGCTTATTGATAACGAATTGAGATCTTTCAATTTCTGAAACCTCTCTTCACCCTTATCCTACATTAGCTTTAGCATATCCATAACTTCAATCAAAATTAAATTTTTACCACAGATGGAGTTATTCATTTGGGAATCCATAGACAAATTTATGTTTTTCTGCCACTAGCATTATTTATTTAGAAATTCGTATGCAAAGCAATACAGTCTGAGGAAGTAACAAAATACTTAATAAATTTATCATGGACTCAACATTATAAATAGAATTTTTAAAACTTTAATTTTTGAATAAAAATTTAGTAAAATATGATAAACTACTAGACATTAGGCATATTAAATTTTTCTGGCTGGGCTATCTACAATTCAGATTGTATTACACAAGGTCTAAAGCAATGCTGTATTATCTTTCGTGTACCTTTTACTTTTGAATGACAAGCATCACACCATACAGTGCTGTCTAGTAATACATAAAATGAGTTATTACATCTAACTCTACAGTGTAAGAATGTAAGAAGAAAAAAAAGACAATTACATACTTTTAAAGGCTCATCTATTTGCACTTTAAAGAAAGCAACATACAAAAATGCATGAATGCATACTAATTACAATTTATATATCATTTGACATAAATCAACAGCAAAAAGCATGGTTACAAAACTTTCTGTTACATATAAAGAATAATATGCATATTCAAATTATTCCACATACATTAGTGTTAATCCACATGCCTCACCTACTAGGGCTTTGGAATAGCATAGGTTAAAACTGAAGACAAATGCCTTCACTTGAATATCCAGTATTTAGGTCTATAAAACTGAGTACATAATGAGCTGTTGGAATACGCAAATCATCTCAAATATCAGATGGCATGCTGTTTCGCTGATCAGTATTATGAGATGGTAAAATTTTATGGCAAATTCAATCATAATGCCAGAGAAGCATCTAAGCAACATGTTCAAGATTTTCCATCCAATTTCCATCTAACTCCAAAAATCACTTCCAAAATAATGTGCAGCTCAAAACAAACTAGAATCGGAGTACTAAAAAATACATTTAAATTATAATGTACTTATAACTGCAAAGTTCGCCTGCAGATGATTCCAGCATCACATCATAGCAAACACAATGTTTGTGCATAAGAATTAATCTCTTCCTGGCCATCATGTTACTTGGCTGTTGTTAACCCAATAGCCGCTGGTGTAGCGTTGACGCAACGGTCAAAATAAATGCGTATATAAACATAACTACCTAAGATATTTTATACCAGCAGATGATTTTGTGTAGGGAATATTATGAAGATTTTTTCTGTAAAAAAATATTTGCCTTCAACAATCATTTTGTTTATAATAATTAATCTCATACTTTAAGCAAAATTTTCGAATGGGTATTTTTGCTGAAAATATTTAACGAAAGAATCACCGACTTTATGAGTGATCTATTTTTAGTCAAGATCACCATTTATCAGAACATTACGTCAGCCAGATGTTTATATTTGTGTTTGGGAAGGAAGGAAAAAAGGGTGTTGTGCTGACGCAACGTCAGCAGGAAACGAATAGTTAGTCTCCTTTTACACTCATTCCTTTCGATGTTCTGTTTCATGTTCTAGTTGTTTAAAAATGCCTAGAACGAGGTATCTTACATTAGAAGAAACCCTTCAAAGATTTTTTGATGAAGAAACAGATGATGATAATGTTAATAATGACCAGAATGAAACTGATATTGTTGTTGTTCCCCCAGAAATTGCAGAATCTAGTGACGAAGAAGAAAGGAATGGCAATGTTTTAAATAATGATAATGGTATTTTACAAAATGATACTGCTGGGGAAGTTGAAATTCACATAAGAAGTAAGTTTCAGCCTTCTAAAAGCAGTTATAGTCATACTAAAAAGTTTAAAAAGCAGAAGACTGAGATCTAGAAGTGGATAAAAAAAGGAAATGTTAGTTATGTCTCAGGAAGAACATGAAGAAAGAGATAGAAAAGAAATTATAAAAGACAAAACACAAGGTAAAACTAGTGCACAGATTTTCGATTTGGTTTAGACATTTACGCTCTTCTCGTTGAACAAACAAATATATACTGATAAATTCAGGGGAAAAAAATGGCATAGAATTTATTTTATCTGAGATTTTATCTATCTTTTGATAAGGACATTTCTGTTCCTGTTGTACGAGAATCAATATCACGTTTGCAGTACAGGAATATGAAGTAGAATTTGCATTTGACAATAGTCAAATTGACAATACTGATAAATTATATGAGGTTAGACCGTATCTAAACTTACTAAATATCACCACTTTTTACTACTGGAAACATAAAGTCTCTTTTAGATTTCACACGCGAGAATGCATTATTCCTTTTGCAAACTCTTATTGAGAGTGTAGAATCAGCCAGAAATAGGTCAGCAACAGGAAGACCTAGTAAATTCAGCATTCAAAAAACATTGAATGGAGATGGTAGACATTTTATCGCAAAGTCCGTTGATAATAAAAGACTTTTTTGTAAAGGGTACCATAGCCAGACTGTTTATAGATGCAAAGTATGTAATGTAGCTTTAAATCATGATTGTAATCAAGCTTTTCATGCTTGAAGCTTTCAATTGAAATAATCTGTATTTGTAAAAGAAATACAATGTATATTTTAATATTAAATTAATTACAAGTAAAGTGATTTGTAGATTTATAAAACGTTATACAGCTAAAAAGTAATCCTGCGCTCCACTCAAAAGAAACATCACACGAGTACAATCCTACTCACTTAAACGTTCGTAGTCTTATTCCGCTGACGTTGCGCGAACGCAACACTTGCGTTTTCCACAGGTAAGAGCATTTTTTTAAAATTTTCAATGTAAATTTATGTTATAAATGCTTAATTTAATATTTGTTATTATTTTCATGAGAAAAGAAACATTCCTTGTAGTTTTGGCGGTTAATGGGTTAATGTTTTACACTTAAATCTAGATCAGAATTAATCTCTGATAACTACAGGCTGCATAATTATAGCAGTAGTGGCAAAAATGCGTATTTCTAATTTGTATTTCATGGAATAAGTTATAACAACCATTGATGGCAATCACTAAAATGATTATCTCTGGCATGTGATGTTTCCATCAATAGCACCAATCAAAGCATCATCTTTATGATGATAAAATGTCTCTCCTTTTTTGAAATTCTTTTTCATCCTTGCGATGACCAAGTTGGGAGCACTGAGTATGATACATTGGTTAAATTATGGATGAATTATACAGGATGTCAACAGCAGTTTTTTATCATAAATGAAATTGCCAATGCAGATTGGAAGTGCTCTATTTTCTTTATTGTCACAAGCCCATTTATAAACAGAATATTTAGGAAATTGCTCCTACTTAAGGCAATCCCCAATTCAAACACCAGAGGGACTGATCTAGATGCCAAATCAACATTTCCAAAAATAATGGAGTGGTACAAGTTCAATGGTCACTTACGGCATGCTGGTGAATGGGTCCTAAACTGCATTGCAGAACTGTGATTAGCAAAGTACTACCGTTGCAGACAATAACTAGACTGAAGAAATCAATGCTTACAGAAACAACAGTGGCTAAGAACAAAGCTCTATTATGAAACAAACATGAAATTACCAGAAGCATGAAAAGCTGATGATCATGGCAGCAATCTCTACTATACAAGTTAATCATTTAATGAGGAAATATTATGTTTTCATTGTAATGACATGAATCTTAAAACTGCCGAATGTCACAGAATCATATTTTATGACAACTATAACGTAATGATTCAGAGAGTAGGGCACAAAAGTTTTGCTAGGTAAATATTAAAAAATAATCTTTGTTTCTTTATTTTGACAATGCAGTGATTTTTACTTGTGATAAAGTTCCTATGGTATTTATTTATTTAGATAAAACACAGTAGATGATCATGAATTAGTTTTTCCCTTAATTAGACAAACAGCACATTTGACTGAAGGAAGCCAAAAGTGTGTATGGTTCAATCATCTCCGATCTTATATCATAATGATTAGCTTAAGAAGATAACACATAGTTCACACACATTTTGGTTTGTGAAAGATAAACTATTTGGAGAAAACACTATCTTCAAAGTGTTGAAAGTTTTTATTTTACTAAAATTCTAAAATTTCGATACTGGTGAATTTCATTGCACAGACTCAGCATTTTCATCCAGCATTGTCTTTGGCTCATTTCCATGTCGGGTGGCCTGAAGTAAATAATTATTTGCAATCAAAGTTTAGCAGATGAGTCATTTGTCAGAAAAATGTTTCAGTTCCTCCAGTTAAGCAGATCTCTAGTCCTGCTCTTGAACAACTATAGGAAGACATTCATACTGATCATCAATGCCTGGATAAATACTGCATGCTATTATTGATGACTGATGCAAAACAAAGTATCTAGAAGTGATATTTAATGTTATCTTTTAAATAAACTGTTATTAGTACTTTACAGCTTCTTTTAGTTTAACTGATCAAGAAGCTTAGTACATTAAAATGGTACTGCCTTCTGTTATGTTGAAGCTACTTTATTTTGAATTATATTATATACATAAATGCACTACTATTATATACATAAATGTATACAATAGTAGTGCATTTATGTATATAGTGCATTATATACATAAATGCACTCTAAATCTCCACTGAAAAGTTAAAGAGGGAATATTTGCCAAAAGATTAACAACATTTCTGTTCAGTTTTTATAATAATTTTTAGCTGTTATCATCAGCAATTAACAAGTTTTATCATCAATTCTGTATTTGATAAAATCTATTTTAGGACACAAGGCAAATTCTTGATAGTCAAAGAAATGTTCAAGCAGGTTTTGATATTTAAAGCAAGGGAATCAGTTTGAATCTATTTAAAGCAAGGGAATCTTAGCAAGTAAAGGAACTTTACTTGCTGCTGGAAACCTTTTTGATTTAGTAGAAAACATAAAATTCAGATTTAAAAATTCCTTAGAGTATCTGAATTCAGTATATATACTGAATTAGCCACCACAATGAAAATATATGAATCTCTTGCATCATTTGTTTGGAAATACTCATTTTTTTTTTTTTTTTTTCATGTCAATGTGTCATATAGGGATCAAATGCTTCCCTTTCTAATCTGCCAGTACTTTTTCCCAGGGGGTTATACACAAATATCAGTATACAGCTGTCATTCTAACCTTTCATTGTCTTCATAGCATAAAGACCAGCAGCCTTCAGGTACATCACTAACATAAAAGTCAACTAGATTTACTTGTAAGCCCTTATGGTTGAATTTGAAAACTTACAGACACTGATGACTTTCATTTTTGAAGTGAGAAGAAATCGTTGCAATATATTTAAATAATAATGAGCTTATAAAGGGAATGCTGGTTCAGAGAGGACATCAAATCATGGTGAGTGCACTCTTTATACATGGCAATCAATCTCTTCTAGACCATTGCACTGTCAACTTGATTGCTATTTATAAATTTTAATCATTTTAATCTAGTATCAGAACTAATCTGTAATAATTAGAGTCAACATAGTTATAATACCCAGCTTATGCTGAAAGGGAATAAAAAGAACATGCATAGATTAACACCTCAAGATATATCATTAAATTTCACAGAATTTCATATAAACTAGGTTTATGTCAAAGCAATACATTCTGTAAGCATTTAATATTTGACGAGGTATAACCAGGGCTATGGAGTCGGAATTGAAGTTGGGCAGATTTTGGGATAAAAGGAGTTAGAGCTGGAATCGCTAAAAACTTGTCGACTCCGACTGCAGTTTTTGTTGGACAGTTTTAATTTTGAAGTGAATTAAAAAGAAACATTAATGACAAACTGAGTTATTATTTTTATTTACATTAATAAATAGTTATTTTCTATTCTATTGGCATATTAATAAAAAATATAAGGAAGATGGATGTGATATATTTGCCATTAGTGATTAAACTGATTCATTTAGTTACAAATCTCACTGGTAAATTTAGGTAAGCAGCAGTAACAGCAAGAACTCCCACAATTGATGCCATTCTCAGGAAGCGAGCAAGAAAAGGACCAATTATTGATCAAGCAGCGCAATGAGGAAGTACATATTTGATGACATAGAGATTTTTAGAATTAAGAACTTTTTTAAAAGGTGTAGATAATCCTCATGGTTCACTAAAAGAAAGACTGTGGAATGATCTTTCAGAATTGGAAACTCTTCTTTCTACACTGTATATAGAAAAAAAAAAAAAAAAAAAAAAAAAAAAAAAAAAAAAAAAAACCTTCAATCTGAAGAATTCAGGAGGCGAGAATGGAAGAATGTGATGTTTTTTTCTCTCTGAAATTAAGGGTTTATTGCAGAAGGAATCATTTCTTCAATGAAGAAAAGAGAAACTAGTTTGCTAGACAATGAGATCCTGCTGGGTTCAATATATGTAGATCCAAAACACTGAATTTTGTTGAATGATGAACTAATTAAGAAGGCAAAGAAAGCTATCTATGAACTTTCAATAAGAATGAAATTATTTTCAGAACAATTGGAATATTCAAATCAGGAAGTCAAATTGCAGATATTGCAACTGAGTCTCTATGATCCTCTTTCAGTGATGAATTAGATTTTGAGAAATATTTTTGGATAATATTGAAAAGGCTAAGGCAAAGCTAGTGAAAATAAAGAACCAAGAGCCTTTAGTTATAAATTTTTTAAAATTCAAACAAGATTTCTACATGGTCTTTGAAGAAATAGAGAAATATGATTGCTCTTGCAAGACACCTCTTTTAGAACTTATAAAAATATATCCTGAAAGAAGTAACCCTAACAGTAATAGCTCTTTCTCCTACTCAAGTCAGTGTGGAAAGACTCTTCTCAGCTCTGAAGTTTATCAAATCAGATCTATGGTCCTCCAACAAAGATCTTGCAGAAGCTATACTGTTTCTTAGAAATAACTAATGCCAGTTTTTCCATTTCATAATAAATGCTAAATAATATAAATAATTTACTATGCCATCATTTTTTCTGTAGCATCTACTACTTCTTTTATATTAAAAAATATGCTGTAACCTATGTGTATATGTTTACATATATATATATATATATATATGAGGGAGTCAAAGTCGAAGTGTTTAAAATTCCAGGTGTCAGAGGCGGTCATTTTCCCTACCGACTCCACAGCCCTGGATATAACTAGTAATTCTTCCACACTAGTACTATTTTGAATCTTAATTCACACTAATTACACAGTACTGCATAACTCTGCAACTGCTTGCTTTCTTGTATTCACTTTATTGTAGAGTTAGGTATGTTAGCTTCACTAATTTTTCATAGGAAGCTGGAATCACTTTTATTCAGGCATATCAACTAAAATACTAATCATTCCAAAATAAAAAAAAAATGTGCATAGATTTTCCTTTGGACCCTATACTGAGCTATAACTACCATAAAAATTAAAATACCAATATCACTGAAAATGCACTTAAATGTTTAAATATTTTAACTGTGTTTTGTTTAATTTCTTACATTAGATTACATTTCATTCTGGAATTAACAATTCTTTAATTAAAAGAATAAAACTATTATATACTAACTTGATCCTAATGCCAAACATTCTCCTGTTATATTAAAAGCATTCAACTAAAAAGAAATATAAATATACATAAATATTAGGTACATCATACAACATAAATATGTAGTCAAATTTTATTAATTAAAAGTTTTAAAATAAGCATTCTTAAACAATACAGGAAATTATCACGTGAAAAGACTAACATTTTTAATAGTAAATATGATAGAAAATTTCATCAATACTTTAAAGACTATCATGATTCTCAACTCCAACACTGGTAACAAAATATCTATTAAATTATGTTAATATAATTTCCTTGGTTTTTCAAATATGAATTATCTAAAAAAGCATAAGGAATAAATATGAATATATTATTTATTAAGACAAAAAAAGAGGAGAGAAAAACACTTTTAAATTTAAAAAGGGGGAAGAAGTCTTCCCAATATTAAAAATATAAATATACTTAACCCTTTGACGCATGGTGGTCGAGCCTTGAAACCACCAATTTTCAAATTTTTTTTCTTCTCTTCCTTCCGAAATTTTTGAGTGAAAATCAATTGATTACTGATCTTTTACCTCTAAATAACACAAAATGACTGCAGAATCATACACGTTTTAGGTCTTAGTACTTCAAATTGGATGCCTTTTAAAATTAGTTTTCAATGAGACAAAATAACTTCCTTTTATTAATATAAACAACTTTAAATTTCAAAAGTTATTCATCGCACATCATGATTTCTATCATAAACAATAAAAAATAGCAATGATTAAACTGCATATATAAAAAAAATCCTCTATTATATGTATGGCATTTGCTTTGTGGCTTCAGGGTGCGACCACCACACCACTACAGCATTGTGTTACAATGCTCTAGAAGCTCGGTGGTCGCGCCTTGAAACCACAGCTCTTCACAATGGCGTTTGCTTGCTTCTCAAATAAGAATGTTTATTTTTACCTTCTCAAATAAGAATGTTTATTTATAACAGGAAGATATCATGGATATAGATAAGGGGTTTTGAAATCAGAGAGTTATTTTACTAAACAATACATGCACCTGACCAGTAAAAAGGTCTTTCTTTTCCAGAGACCTTTTCTTTTCTCTGACCTCAACACACTTGCTCCCCAAGCTAGTATTGTGATTTTATAAATTATTTCCTGTGGTTTAAATTTAATGTAAATATACTTTGCAGTACTTAAAAATAGAAATCGCATAAAGTTTTATTTAAATTAAAAATATTTTCTGAATAATTTGAGACGAAATATGAATAAAATAAGTATGAATGGGAAACGAATGATCCGTACCAAAGCCAAAAAGACCAAGCCCACCCCCATTAACATAAAAATACCATAAATTTCATGTGCCAGATGAAAAAAAACTAAATAACGCTGGACATGTACCGGTGAAATTTAGATCCAATCAGTGTACAAGGAAGAAACATCATAGAAGAAGATACATGTGCGAAACGTGCAATGTGGGTCTATGCATGTACCAAAAAGACAAAACATGCTTTGAACAGTATCACAAAAAAATATTTGTTCTTTTAAATAAAAAAGAAAAACACTGAGTCTTTTTTTTATCTTTATTTTACTGAGTTTTTTAATCCATGTAGCGAAACGTCCTTATTATGTAGGTACTTTCACTGCTATCGAAAAATTACATAAATGTTCATTTTTTTAATTTTTTCTGACGATTTACTTTGTAAAATAATGTAAATATATATATATATATTATATATTATGCAATTCTTACATGCATTTTGTTTTAAATTCGTAAATTTCGTCTTTATTGGAAACGCGCACAGAGAAAGGTAAGTTTTTTTTTTCTACTTACCTCGGTAAGTTTCAAAGTCCTAGACGCACGGTGGTTTCACAGTGCGACCACCACCCACAGAACAATGGGCAAGAGTAGATTTTTTTAAATTCATATATTATTTGTCTCAAGGATCATAATATTCAATTACTAGAGCTTTTAGTTAAAAAAATTATAAAAATAATATCACGCGCGTCAAAGGGTTAATGGCAGGTATAACTCCTGTCTTTTATTAGCTCTTTCATTATTAAAATAGTTAAACATATAAAACTGTACCCATTCAAAGCAAAATAAAAGCAATAAATTTATAAAATAAAAGCTGAAATTTAAAACCTAAAACTGAAAATAATAACTGGTCAAATTTAAAGATTAAAAAATTATGTTTTGCAATAATAAAGAGAGAAATTGATTAAATTAAGTTAAATACTAACTGTAAGCAGGAAAATATCATCAAATGAAAACTAAAATAATAAATACTTACTGATATAATATTTTCAGTTGGCGAATTCTTCCTATATAACAGTTCACCAGAATTACCATCATAAAAATCAATAGTTCTTCTATCCGCAGATAAAAAGTTCTCATCTGGGTATCGTCCAACGATAATTATATCTTCAATGGGATGCCACGCTGCCTATAAAAATAAAAGCTTTTCTATTTAAAAAAATATGGTTCTAAATAAGATATCAGTTTGTAGATACTGAATACCTGATGCGTGACTATCCACAGATAATGTGAAAATGGTCGTGTGAAACTGTCATTAATGCACAGTCACACGTTCTTTCAGATAGTATATTAAACACTTTGTAAATCTATGATACCATTAGCTTGGGACTTTGTTCATGTAATTTAACGCCTAGTTCACATACATCAACACTCCACTGTGGCTATAACTATCCATCTAAAAGCTTGTTTATACATATCAAAACCTTATCATGGTCATAATCATTACTTTATTTTCCCTTTTATGCACTCTCCTGGCTGCTCTCGAGTCACTATAATAAAAACCCGGACAGTCTTTTTTATTCCCGAGTTATTCCAAATCAAGCGATATATCACTCTTTGCTCAGTTCTTCTTTTTTTATTTTTTAAATTCCTTACATGTGCAATTCCCACAATATATTAATAGTTGAAAATGAGCATAATTTTTATTGGATTTTTTAAAGTTTTACATACAACCATATTTATTTTGGATCAATTAAATTTTTACAATTTTAAAAGTTTCTGGAATTTGAAAAATTTGAGTAACTATTTGTCATAACAACATGATGCAAGAAATAATTTATTTATTCTAAATATCATGAACTATTAAGAGTGCTCATTAGGAACTTTAACCTAAATATGATTTTAAATGATATAACTTTAATATAATTTTTTTGTTTTTAAAAATACCCTGTGTTTACAGCGAAATTTTTCTAAAAGGCAAATATGCCAGAAGCTGTAATTTTTTAACGAATACTAAAGAATTAATTTTATTACTTATAGCAACTATGTTCATATTATTAATCCATATTTACTTCATTGCTTTAAAATCTTCACCTCTGATCTTGCAGAAAAGGTAAGTTCTGTCCAGTGACGTACGTACCCATAGCCTTTTTTTTAACCCAAGATAGTCCCTGAGTTTACTAACCTTCAAGGTAAACATAAAAAATTCTACAAAACATCGAAACAATATATTCATAAATAAAGTGAAATGTTATATCTGTATGTTGAAATAAAACTTTAATTTCAACATTCTAAAACATTTTTATACTCGTTTCACTGTTAACAAAATTGTCAGCATTACTTGTACACATAATCTCAAGTGTATATTAAGTATTAATTTTAATTGAATATTTTGGATTTTGAAGTTAATCATTTTGGATATTAACTGGCATGTGTTAATTTAAATATATAAATAAATAAGTAAATAAACTTATTTACATTTAGCAATTAAAACTAGAATTTTGAGGGCCATTTCATCAGCAGAAATCTGAATGGTATGTGAACTCTTTACTGCAACAGGGGCTGGCGATGGTTTCAATGGCATTTTTTATTTTCAGGCTAGTTTTATGCATCAGTCTTAATTCTCATACGAGACTTTCTTTTCTTTCTTTCTTTCTTTCTTTTTTTTTTTTTTTTTTTTTTTTTGTGTGTGTGTGTGTGTCTGTTATCAGTTTCAGGATGAATAACAGTGATGATATTGCAAGTTTATAACTATATTTCTTGAAAACTCATATAATGGAAGCAGTATTTTCTCTATGTTATCTATTAATGGCCATTATTGCTGTAATCAAATTAATACTTTGATTTGCTTATTTACCTTGTTATTGAGTTTTTCCATAAATTCTGGAGAGCATTAGTTTTCTGGATGTATTTATATTCAATTTCATCTAATTCAGAGACAATGCAAAATGTCCAAGCCTTTTGAGTCAAAACAGAAAGCAATTTCTTTGTAAGCATAAAAAGAATCAAACGGAATTATCACCGGGCTGCAGGTTTATGATAAGTATCCAGCAAAGCAGCCTTCTGAAAAGACAGTTTATAAGGTGCTTCTAAGAGGAAAATGCAGTTTGAATTGGTCCAGACTTTAGTACTCTCATCATAAATAAATAATTTAATTCCATAGCTGTGCTATAAATCGCACAGATTCATGAGTATTAACAACTTCGGTGTTATATGCAACAGCTTAAATTTTAATTCTATTTATATTAAAATTTCCATTAAGTTCAAATTAATGTAATTGTTAGTACACTTAGAGAAAATATATTCTCTGTTGCAATTCAACATATTTTAAGATCTTACTTATGGAAATATTTGTCTAGAATTTCATCACTATTCTAAGAGAATGAATTACAGTACAAAGTCTTTAATCCGGACGTCCTTAATCCGGAATTATCTATAATCCGGACCTCAAAGCTACAAACTTTCTGCGCATGCGTATATGCGCTTACGCATGTGCATAATACGTTTACGCATGCGCGTTTAATGTATAACAGACGGTATAAGCTAGGCTACAATTATCTAATTATCTATTTCAGCTAATGTTGCAGATTGCATTGTTCCTTAATCTTCTAACTGGATCCGTCTTATTATTTTTTGCAGACTGTTAGCGCAATTTTATAAAAAGTAAGATTTAACTTTCGATTATGTCAAAGAGTTTCCGTTTCTGGAGCTGCCAAAGGATCTACAAAGCGAAAGCATGTTTCGATGTACTGCTTCCGATAGTGAAGAAAGTAACAGATAGGTTATTGAAAACGGAAAAATTTCGATTCACAAGTTAGTCGGTATTCTCGACACAGCAATTACAGGACTTGAAAAGTGGAACTGAACAAGACATTATGTCTGTTTCTAGAATTAAAGAGAAAGTATTAGCACACAAAATGTAGCAACTTAAACAACTTACATTGAAAGAAATGTTTAATAAAGTAATCAAATAAATATTGAGCTTTTTTTTTTTTTTTTTTTTTTTTTTTTTTTTTTTGTAAATTTTGATACTCTTTAGATCATAATTGCTCTTTATTTCATAAATTACAGTTTCATAGTTTTAATTTTATTTAGTATTAATTTTATAATTTCTGCATGACATCTTACCAGATTTAAATTGATGATCTATAATGCGGAAAAAAACCTAATCCGGAATCGCCGAAGTCCTGACGAGTCCGGACTAAAGACTTTATACTGTACTATGCAATTTTAAGGCATACTGTACATTTAAATAAAAGAGATCAGCAATTCAATTTATGAAGAGTTCAAATTATAGACTGGATACAGTTTACAGATTCTAAACATACTGTGATAAGGTCACATGAAAGAAGAGACTGAAGATTAATATGGACAAGGATGTCGCGTGAGAATAAGCTGAAAATTATTATTTTTTAACTTACAAACTCGTTTTCAAAAGTTGTTAAAATAGTCTTTATTAAAATAATTAAATCGTTGGCAATGTTAAAAACGCAAGCTCGAGAGCCACGAATTGCTCTCGCACATAAAATGTATAGAATTTGATTTTTGAAATAGATAGGTTTTTCTCTGCAGAATTGTATTTAGCCATTTTTTTTTTAATATTCAATAAATTTTATTATGCTGTGTTTTGTTTTCAACCTGATGTCACAACCCAGGGTTTGCATATTGGTTTCGGCCACTACACCTCAGCAGTAAATATTAAAAGTTGGTGGCAGCTTTTAATTGGGATTTTTTAATTTAGGGATTGTTCCTGAGAGTAAATTTAGGAACAGACTTTTTCGCCTGTGAACAGTCAAGACTTTCTTCTCTTCAAAAACGATCTAATTTTGCGTGCAAGGACAGTTCGCGTGGTGAAGCCTCTTCAGTGACAAGTGACAATGTGTCAGAAGGGAACGCCGGAGGAAGCGTGATCTAGTGCCGCAAAATTGGTGAGTACCATTTTTGTGATTTTGGAGAGGTTATGCCAGTTATTCGAGACTAGGCTTATTTTGGATATAGAGCACGAAAAGTTTGCCTCTTAATTAGCATTTTTTTTATATACGCTTTGTTTGTAGGCATAGGTATTATCATTAAGTGTTGTAAGGCAATTTGTGTTCAGAATTGTTAGAGAATTATTCAGTTTTGGAGAGATAGACCTGTTGTTGTTTTAGTGTTATTGTATTTAGGGGTAGGTTATTTTTCTTTGATTTTCCATAATGGGTGAGTTTATGAGGAAATTTACTAAAGCTGTGCTATTGGAGTTAGCGGAGGAGTTTGAAACAAATGTATCTCAGACAAATAGAGTAAGAGAAATTAGGCAGGGTATTCTAAATGCCGAGGACTATGAAGAAGAAGCTGCGAAAGAATACGCGGCAAGAATTTGGGCTGCGGCTGAGCAGAGAAAAGCAGAAGAAATAGCCGAGCAAGAGAGAGCAGAGCGGGAACGTGAACAAAAGAGAGCAGAACGGGAATGTGAACAAGAGAGAGCAGAATGGGAACGTGAACAAGAGAGAGCAGAACGGGAACAAGAGAGAGCGGAACGGGAGCGAGTTTTTTAATTGGAAAGGTTAAAACTGATGAATGTGGTTCAGACTAATAGCCTAGCTTCCACGGTTTTGAAAGTTGAACAATCTAGAGAAAAAAAAGGTTAATTTGAAAGATCTAGTACCGCGTTTTGAACCAAGTAATATAGATATTTCATTATTCTTTATGCTATTTGAGAAACAAGCTCAAAAAGACAACGTTAATGAGATTGATTGGGTCTCGCAATTAATTCCTTTATTACCTTACGATGTAGCCCAGTTAATAGTGAAAGAACCAGCAGATAAAGGAGATGATTATCAGCATGTTAAGAAATTACTCATGCAGAAATTCAAGCTTAGTTCTTGGGCACTAAAAACAAAATTTGAAGAACATTCTCGAAAAAACGGAATGCTATGGGTGGATTTAGTGTATGAATTGAGAGTGTATTTAGAGAATTGGTTGGATTCAGTAGAAGTTCAAGATTTTGAAAGTCTTAAGGAACTTATGCTCACTGAGCAAATTAAGCGGCAAGTCCCTCTAGAAATAAGAGAGCACTACTTAGACAATTGGGAAGAACTTAAAACAGCTTCCATTTTAGCAGAGAAATGCGACAAGTATGAGGCTTTGCGAAGAGATACGAGGAAGTTAGAACAGAGAGCGGGGTTAAAGAAACCATTTGAGAAAGAT